TTACAAAAATTAATATTAAAATCCGGATATTATAGGAATTTTACACTTCCACAAAAAATAAATAAAATAAAGTCTACAAAAATTTTAATAAACCCAACTAAAATCTAAAACTTTTACAATTTTCTTTTTATTCTTTTAAAAGTGTTTCGACTTTACTAATAAAAATATTTCTGACTGAGTTTTTTTGTCCCCTTCTAACCACTCAATTTATATTCAAAGTTAGTATTTTTTTTTTCTTGGATCGACATTCAATAAAGAAAAATCTGACTTAAAACTTATTTTAAAATATTTCAAACTTTTATTTTGTGACAAATAAGTAGTTATTGATTTAATTCAGTTTCTATGATGGGATATTATTATAAATTGTTTAGGAGTTTGATCTATTTCATAAGATAAAATACAGAGAATTTCAAAATTAAACCCAAAGAAAATAGTGTGAATTCTAATCGATAAATTTGAAGAAATTTTATAAAATCAGAGTCGGTCACGCTTTAAACTCTAGAGGAAAAAGACAAAAACAAAAAAAAAATCCATTCAATTTCAATGGGGGAGTAATTTTACTTTTACAAACTTTTGATTTAGTTTTGTCACGTTAAATAATAATTCAATTTTATTTGTTATGTATGATTCCGGGAATTTTCTTGTTTTTCCATTCTAACACGATGGTTTATTTATTGTTTGAATTTGACCAAGTCCGTAAAGTTCAACTCTGACTTGATCGACTCTCTAGACGAACTGAGGACTTGCAAAAGAGAGTAATCACTCTGACGCTCAAGTCAGTAGTTGGTCAATCTATACTCAGAGAGAAAATATAGTTTCACGTACTTGAAAAAGAGGCAAGAGTCTCTATTTATAGGCAGAGTTTCCAACAAGCCTACAATGGCTTTCTAACCTTCTAAGAATCGAGACATGTTGCCATGGACAACATCATAGTTTTATGCTTATAGAAGTACATGTCGATTCGCTTGTCTGATAACTAGACGTCTGATTTTCCAATAGGCTCGACTCGACTAATAATTCAGGCGACCGAGGTGTGAGGCATAGGTCGACTCGACGTTGAACATTAGTCGCGACCGTCTCCAATAGTTAAACTCAACCTTTTACGGAAGTTTGAGCTACCATTCATTTCATGTATGAATCTTTAGGTTGACTCATCAATGTTGGGCATATCAATATTGGCTTCTATTCAAATTGATCGGTTATACATCGAATCGGCGGCCTCATTCTTCCAAATGTATTAAAGAATATTAAATGCCACAACCAATCTCTACACTAAACACAAGTTTTCTACCATTCTTTCCAAGAATGTTCAAACATCTACTTTTTTCCTCAAAAAATTACTCCAATAACACTTCATGTTTTAGCAATTAATTGTATGTAGTACACATTTAAGGGGTGATGTTGGTCCCATGCTAGAAGACTTGGACACACAAAAAATTAAAATAGAGAAAATCCTTAAATATTTTATTTGGAACTTTGAAGTATCCAAAATTTATGACTTCTTTTAGCCGATAATAAAAGAGATGTCTGAGAATATCAAATATTTTAGATATTGAGTGGCAGTTTGTTTTTCGGGAATTTAGATGTTGATGTCCGAAATTTTAGATGTTTGACATCTTCACATAACCACGTCTGTTTTGTAAGAACATTTATAAAAATGTCTGGAAATATGTACGATTCTTTCTTTCTTTTTTTTTGAACGGTTGTTTTGTACGAATTCTTTTTGGGATGTTCTAAATTTATATTTTATATAATGTTCAAAAAATGTCCATACTAATATTTATATAATTTATACAGTAATTATAATATTCATATATAAATTTTTAGGATTAATTATATTTTTGGGATTATCAGCCTTTGCTTGAGCAGATTGTCTCTCGTGTTTGGAGTTGGTCGCTCGAGTGCTTTCTTTTGCTGGCCGATTACAGTTTATTCGGTCGATCCTGTAGAGTTTTCAAGTCTACTGGGCCAGTGTGTTTATCCTTCCGGCTCGGGAAAATCATGATGTTGAACGAATTTTGTGTTCTTTCTTGTGGAATGGGCGCCAAAGCGGGCGGTCAGGGGCTAAGATGGCTTGGTCTGAGGTGTGTATTCCTTTGTGGGAGGGTGGTTTGAGTGTGCATCACTTGACCTCTTGGAATTATGACACTATAATGAAGCTGATCTAGCTTCTGTCGGGCTGACTCTCTTTGGGTGGCTTAGTTGGAGGCTATTCTTCGAGGGGATTGTATTTGGACCGTTCATGCTTCACCTCAGTTCTCTTGGTGTTGGCGGGATATTCTTTTTGTCTAAGATGCTTTTCGGCCTCTGGTTCGGTTTGCTATTGGAGATGGTCAGCGTTGTTTTGTGTGGTATGACATCTGGCTTCTGGGGGGTCCGATTTATTCGAGGTTTGGTGAATTCGATTATTTATAATGTTGCAAGCTCGTCCCAGGTGAAGGTTGCTTATTTTCTGTTTCCCGATGGTTTGTGGCGCTTGCCTCGGGGGTCAGCTGATCTTCGGCAACTGGTCTCTAAGGTTTCATCTGTGCAAGTTTTAGTTGGGAGGGTTGATGTGCCCATTTGAATTTCGACGTCGTCGGGTCTCTTCTCGGTGTCGAGTGTGTGAGGTGTGTTGTGCCCGGCCCCGCCTCCCATTCCTTGGTTTTCTTTGCTTTGGTTCAATGGGAACATTATGAAGCATTCTTTCATTGCTTGGTTGGCAGTGCGTGATCGGCTTGATACGAGAGATCACTTATGTCATTTGGATTCTTCTATTCCTGCTTCCTGTACGTTGTGTGCTGCCTTGGAGTCCCAAGATCATCTATTCTTTGAGTGCACATTGGTCATTGCTTGAGCTGGTTCTTCTCACATGATTTCATATTGGTCTACTGAGCTTGCTTTGGTTTCTCACATTAGTGCCGGGAAGTCTGCTCGTCGTCATGTGTGGTGCTTGGCATGAATTTCGACTGTTTCTTTTTTCTGGAGGGAGCGTAATGTTAGAGTTCATGCGGGTGGGGATGGTCGGTCGCCTTCTGTCCTTTTACGCGCATTGAAAGTTGAGGTCTATTATCGTTGTACTACCTGGCTTGAGAGCTGAGTGCCCCTTTAGTTGGGAGGTATGGTCTGGCATAATTGCTTGGGCTGATTCTTTTCACCGGGTTTCATATTGGTCTACTGAGCTTGTTTGGGTTTGTCTTATTAGTGCCGAGAAGTCTGCTCGTCATCGTGTGTAATGCTTGGCATGGACTTCGACGGTTTCTTTTATCTCGAGGGAGCGTAATGTTAGAGTTCATGTGGATGGGGTGGGTCAGTCGCATTATGTCTTGAAAGCTGAGGTCTATTATCGTTGTACTATCTGGCCTGTTTGAGTTTGATCTTATGTTTATCTCCGCCTGGGATTTATTTTCTTGATTTACTTTACTTTATTCTTTGTCTTGTGTTTGCCCTTTGGGTGTCGTGGGATCCTCCATTTTTTTTAGTATATTTACCTTTGCAAATAATATATATATATATATATATATATAATAATTTAATATAATTTGTATTGTTTTTATTAATTCAATATTTTTTTATATTAGTTTTTGTATGTTATTTGGCAGAATTCATATTAATATAAGATTTTTTAATAAATAATTAATACTAAATATAACATTCCTTTCTAATTTTAATATTTTTTCAAAAATAAAAATATATAATTAATGTTATCTGATATAAATTTCTTTCGGTTAAAAAACACATTTGGTCCATGAACTTTGGTGAAGGTAACGATTTAGTTCCTGAACTTTCAAAAGTCTTGATTTGGTCCCTGTACTTTTAAATTGATAACAATTTAGTCCCTACTTTTAAAATTGGGTTAGATTTAACAGAAATTTGACATAGCATATCCATGTGTATAAATAATGTCCAAGTGTGCAATTGGTTTAATTTTGGATCGGTTCAAATTCGAACTGGTTTAAAAATTAAAAAACAATAATTATAAAAGAAAAATAACATAGGGACTGGAGAAACATTTTTCTTTTATAATTATTGTTTTTTTTTAATCTTAAACCGGTTCGACTTTGAACCGACCCAAAATTGAACCAATTGCACATTTGGATATTATTTGTACTCATGGATATGACATGTCAAATTTCTGTTAAATCTAACTCAATTTTAAAAGTATGGACTAAATTGTTATCAATTTAAAAGTACAGGAACCAAATCAAGACTTTTGAAAGTTCAGGAACTAAATCGTTTTTTAACCATTTCTTTTTTATAATATTAAATTATACTTTATATAAGAAGAAAATATCAAATGTATGTCCGTTTCTTAAGCAAAACAACAAAGAGAGTCAATCACAACTTTCGAATTGATTCAAGTCTCTTTCGAATTGATTCAAGTCTTGGAAGCTCGGCAAGTGGAAGACGAGTCGAGCTACTTTCTACCTTTGGAAAACTTTCGACAAGTACGAACCGACCTTGAAGAGTACCTGCAAGCACAAAGTCGATGAGGATGTTCTCCAACAACACGTTGCATTTCCCCGGCGGTCCTTTTGACAAGTACGAACCGACCTTGAAGAGCACTAGCAGGCGCGAAGTTGACAAGGATGTTCTCCAACAACACGTTGCATTTTCGGGCAGTTGGAGAGTCGTTGGAATGTTGTCGGGAGCTCACCTCTAAAGATAGAAATCCTCACCTCCCACGCAAGGTATACAAAACTATTTCTCTTTAGAGAGATAGATCGAACTATGTACTGACTAGAGCATCGATGTGCTTAACTTTGTTTTGCAGGTACTTCAGACTTCGATACACTTCATCCCAACTTTACATTGAATTGAGATATTATATAATTTAATTGAGGTTTATTTTATATGTAAATATAATATAGTGTTGTTCGATGCATATTTCTCGGTTGGTAATGTCGTTTTGGGGCAGGGTGTGTTAGATTTTAGGCCGAAACATAAAAACAAAGATAAAAATAGCAGAGTAGACGACAACAACAACAAAATAGTAATAGTAATAGTAACAAAGACTCCCAAACATGAAAGCAAAATCATATTATACAAAAAAACAAGACAAGACAACAAGACATACATAAACATTAATAAAATCTCAACAACATATGACAGGACATGCAGGAACCCTTCCTTCATTCAGCCTACAACAAACAATTTTGATTCATCACAAAGTTAGCTAATTGCCAAATGGGGCAGTGAAGTGAGTTTCAGTTCAAGAGATGAGATGGATGACGATGCTCCCGTTTCCGCTTCTTAACTCGAATACCATAGCAGTCTTCGGCTCTGGGCGGGCGGTGCCAACCCGGGAATGTCCCGAATGTCCTTGTTGTTTGGATTCACAAGCTTGACAATGATAATGGCAACGACACCGACGACAATGAGGAAGAGGAGGGCCATTATACACTTATCAGTTGCAATTTGTCTCCCTAATTCCTTCACCAGTTTTGAGGCTTTTTTGAGCGAGAAGTGTATCGAGTCGAGCTCGTTCACTATCCTGCTCATTTGCTCCGTCTGCGCCTTCAGAGCTGCTGCTGTCTCCGTTCCCACGTTCACCGTCTCTTGAACTACCTATTCCATACATACAACCACCACAGATCATTTTAGTTTGGAGTTCATTGTGATCTAAAATCTAATGGAAAAAAATAGAAATCTGAACTTCCAAAAGACAAACCAACCTTTTTTGACCTCTCAATTGCTTCATCAGTCTCATCCATCATCCTGTTTCCACTGTCAATCAATTGTTGATTTGTCATATCTGCAAAAGCATATAGCCTATGCATTAGTAATTTCATATTCAACATTATTTGAACCAATATCGAACCCACATCGGTTCAAGAAAAATTTAGATCCAATGCAGAAACGAAACCGACCAAACATATAGACCAAAATTTTTGGCTTTTTTCCCAGTGTAGTATTTCAACTCATAGTCACATTTGTTATTACAGCAATAAGCTCCAAGAATGCTTTAAATCATGAACTAAAAGTAACATAGACAGAATATGCATACTTGAAGCTAGCAACACATTTTCTTCCCCATAACCTTCAGCAGGTCCATCAAATAGATCGATACGCTTGTTTTCGAGATTGCTTGCATATCTGTATCATCACCATCAACAGCCATTGTTAAACAGAGATTTCGATCTCATGTGTAATGTAACAATACTAAGTCAAAAGCAATACTTTTCAACTGTATTAAGTGGGATAAGTAAGAAGAACAGAGAAATTATTGATTAACATGAAGAAGAAGAGAGATGTTTGGTAAACAAAGCGAAAAATGAAGAAATTATTTTAATCACAAGGCGATACACGATTAAGAAGCAAGTGACTCTACTGGATACATTTTGATGATCATGAAATTAGCTCACTTTCAAAGGTAACAAAAAATTAAAGCTGATACTTACTGCTTCTTAAGAGCAACATATGAGTTCAACTCTTTGATCTGCATAAGTAATAAAATTTATTTAATAACACTGCACTACTACAACAGAATATAAAGAACATTTCTGAATTATTAATAGAAATTCCTTTACAGAGAATTCATAGTTAAAATCCCACCATAGACTGCTTTTTCTCATTCAGCATTTTATTGGTGACTGAATTATTCCTGCTTTCCACAGCCTTCACTTCTCTGTCAAACTCTTTAATAAGACTGTAAAGGCAACAAACACAAAGTTTTCACCAAAAGCAACAGGAACAAGACAAAGGAGCTAAATCTTTAATGATATGCAACCATCAATCAAGCTTAAAAGGAAATTTAATTAAATAAATGGTAGTGATGATACAGGTGAATTGTTTAAGAGCATATCGTTGACTGAAAAGCCCAGAAACCTTAAGAAACATGAATGTACAGCCTGCATAAATCTATAGTTCAAGCTTCTTAAACTTTTCCTTGTGTTCTATACATGAATGACAAGTACTGTTAACTAAGAAAAAGATGCATTCACTTTCATAAGTAGCTATCAATATTCTAAACGAAAAAGCGACCTCTCAAAGCTTTCTCTCTTACAGAAGCGGGGCGGTACGGGGCCAAAGAGCTATATATCTTTGAGAATGAGGCAAACTAATATTATTTAATCTAATTATCATTCTCCTAAGCCTCTAGTGTTCCAAAAGAGACATAGATTACAAAGCTAAAAGTTTGAACCTTGCCTCGAGGCTCGCCTCGAGGTTTCGGGAAATTTTCTTCACCCAATCACTGCCCAGAAGATGTGAAGAGATTAGAACTCAGAAGAGCACCTTGTCCATATAGAACTTGCCCAGACACCATGGAAAGTACACAACACAAAGAATAAGATGTGGAATACCTCTTGCATTCTCGCATTTTATCAGTCAACTCTTCCAATTGTCTACTCTGCCTGTTCGAGTCCTTGATCTTCTCCAACTTCTGAAATCCATTTCTGTAGATATAACAAAAACAATGCCAAACAAGAGGTTTAAGCTCATAAAACAAGCTAAAAAACGATTCTAATCATAACCCATCATTTCAAAAACATCAACGA